TTCAATGTTCTTTCTCTGACAGATTCGTGTCGACGGAAACAACGAGCGCAGCGTGCAGCATTCGTCAGCTGGCCGAGGAGGAGGAGCAGCGCATCCTTCGTCTCAGGGCGCCATCGGCCTCGGAGGGGAGGGCCAGCCCCGCCATCATCACCAGAGACCCATGAGGGATCGAGGGATAAAAAAGGACAAACAGGACGCTCCTGCACTGGTGAACGGAGTGTCGTAGATGCAGCGATGGAGGACCCCTGTCACACACACACCCTCACACACACACACACACACACAGAGGCAACTTCTACACCATCTCTGGCGTTTCTCTTTTTCCTGCCTTCATCACACTGAGGAGGACTGATATTTCCATCAGCATGGAGACATTTAGTGAATCCCTACAGCAGAGCTGGTCTGGTTTCTGCTGGTTCGCTTCGTTCCCGTTTGGCGTCGTCTCCTGTTTACTGTGGAGTAAAGGAAGCCTGACGGTTTTGGACTCGAGGAACAGAAGAAGTCCGTTTTCTGTCAAAGAGGAGCTCCTTTTCACTCCAAAGGAGATCACACAAAAACCTTTTTGTTTCTTTCTATCCCCAGGCTCACTCACACACAAACGGAAACGATGACAGCAGAAATCTATGGAAATAGCAGTAGCCGTCAGGCTAGGCTCCTACTGCGTAAGATGGGAGGCTAACCGTAGAGATGATCCAGGTCTTTGTGGTCTACATTGTTCTCCCGGTGCAGAAATCAGTTTGGTCATTCAAAACTCCAAAAACCAATATTTTTCAGTCAGCTGCAACACGAGCCCGGACGTATCATAAGCAGAGATTTTTCAGGCGTTGCCCCAAATAACGCGTACACCGTGGGAGGCGCGTGGTTGTGGGAAAATGTTCACAGATGGCACTTTAATTTTATTTTCTACCTTTTCACACTGAAATACAAAAAGAAAAGAGGTATGCACTCCTGAATTAAAGCTCTACATCAGGCTGTGGTTTAAACGGCATGAATTATAAAAAAAAAAAAGAAAAAAAAAGTCAACCCCGTTCTGAAGCAAACAGACTTAAATCGGGGGCACTTTGGTGTAAATCATTTGGTTTCAAAAAGGAAACTAAGACCCAGCTGGACGGTTAGCTCCAAAACGTCTGGTTGTACTACGTCAATAAAAAAAGAGAAAAAAAAAGCTGACATGAGATAAAAAGGTTAAACCACTGACTGGACGGCTCCAGCCTGTAAAGGACGATACTCAGACAGCAGCAGCAGCCCTGTCCTGCTGTTGGTCCAACTGCACTGATTCACAAGTTGGTCTTCTAACCTGCATTTACGCTCTAGTCCCAGCGAACTAGTAGGTAAAATATCTACAAAGAAACCAGTCCTCTTGTTTTACTGATAACTCCATCAACTATTCATTTCCAAATCTTCTAGATGAACTCAGTCGTTTTGTTTTAGGTCTTACCTCCCCCTCCCCTCTGCTTGTTTAGACTCTTTCCTTCCTATTTATCTTTTCTTAGATCATCACATCTTGGCTGCGTTTTGTAAATGAGGACTCAAACGAGACATTTTCTCTGAGCTTTGAGACGGTCAGTGAAGCAGTCATTATGTGCCTGTAAGTTTCAGAAACTGTGAGCTTCTTTTGTTTTGTTTTTTCTTTGATGATGAGGCTCCTTTATGACGGTGCCTTGGCCTTTTCTTCCTTTTTTTGTCTGTAAAATTAGTTAATGTTAAGGCAACAGTCATCAGCATATTGACATGTAATGACGATTCTCTGATTCTCTATGGCTGTTTATAAATTAAAGAAGTCCCCTCTTGTTTTTTTTTTTTGTTTTTTGTTTTTCAATAATCAAAACAATACTGATAGATTTGAACAGTAATCTGATGCATTTATGTTTTTTTCTTTGTTTTTTTTTTGGTGAATGGTTTACATGGAAGGGATCAGTACAGTTTAGTTGGCGAGAAGCTTTAAAAGTTCGTATTTGCTGCGATCTCTTCTATTAAGTCCTCTGTTAAAACTGACTGTAATAATGGAAATGAGCAAATATGGAGAAAATCTGGGATCTGATTAGAAAAAACATACAATAAAAAATAAACCTCTGTATCTAAACAGTACGGAAGAGGATTAGGGCCACTGAAAAAATAAAAAAGGTGAACTGATTTTTATATTTTATTTCCGTATAATATGAAAATTATTTGAATTCTGAAGGATTTAAAAAATAATACTGGCTTTTTTCTCTGAATTCTGACTTTTTTGCTCACAACTGTGAGGAAAAAGTTCAGAATTCTGACTCTTTTTTTTTTTTCCCATATTAAACTGAAATAATATTTAAAATTCAATATTATTTTTTTTTTTCAGTGGCCCTAATCCTCTTCCGTAAAAAAGGCCACAGGAAGTTTTTCCAAAGATGAATCTGTAGGCTGTTTAATTTAAGAAAATGCTAAAGAAAAAGTTTTAATAATTCTCAACGGTGACTAAAAATTTTTTCTTCAAAATCTTTTTATTAATTAATTATTATTAATAACAACTATTAATTAATCAACCAAATTATTTAATTAAATCTAAACTAATCCTTTCCTAGCTCAGAGTAACATCAGTTCATCATTTAATCACATAACTGAAAAACTAGCTCACTGTATGACACCACCAGCTGTAAATATTTAAGGCTGATTTATACTCAGAAACCAGGTGTTTTGCGTGTGTGTCGCAGTTAACGCAGGTATGCCCCCGCCCATTTCGCAGACACTTTGGTGCGCTGTCACTTCCTGATCCATCCCAGAAGCACGATCCGTCTTGCGCCAGGGCCATTAGCTCAAGTTAATCGCCCTCGATTTTATTTTGTTGAAAATAAAGACCTAAATTATGTTTTTCCCTCCTCAAAAATAGTAAACTTGCTAAAATAGTGTTAAAGGTTAATAATGTATTCCTGAGAAAATAAATGCCTTAAAATCCTTTCTGATTTATCAGTCCTTTCTCCCCAATCTGCACCGGAAATGGGATCCTACTCTACTTCCGAGAGCTAACATGTTCGGCTTTGGATTTAAACATAAATCTAGTCTTTTTGAGTTTTATGTTTTAGTTTCATTTTAATCTAATGCTATCTAGTGCGTAGTCTAAAGAAAGAAAAGACTAAAATGCAGATGATTTAATCAGATTTTGCCGGACTATTCTGAGCATGTCCCATGATGACGTCAGAGAAGCAGTTTAACGAAAAAGTAAAAAGCATCTAAATTGTCTCACAAAAGTGATAAAACATTTTTTAAAGATGTGTATTAGCATTCTTTAGAGAGGATAAAAATAAGCAATTTTAGTACCATAATTACATTATTTATGGTAAACCGGATGTGATGGACTGATTGTGCTTCCAGGGCAGATTGGGCAGTGACATGCACCTCTCCAAAATTGTAGGTGACTGCAGACAGGAGGTCTCTGATTGGTTGAATCTACATCCGCTCTACACTATGCGTATTTCCTGTTTGGTACCTTACCAGCTTGTTTTGTTTGTATGACCGCCATTGTGGAAAACGACTCGTGAAAATGGACTAGCTAGAAGAGCGAGGTGCACGAGAACGCTGGGACCCTTTTTCCACCTGGATCCCCGCTCTTTTTCACCCTCATGTCTCTTCGTTGTCACAAAAACTTGTCCCCACTTCCTCACCGCCTCGGCCGTATCTAGACCAAGCTAGTTCCTGATTATCCCTCTTGCGCTGCGACGTGGAATTGCATAGCGCAGACCACGCTTCAAAATTGGGCATAATTGAAAAATATCTGCCTCATACCTGCATCAAGCTCACTACGACACACTGCTGCAGGACTATAACCAGCCCTTTACACCCATACGGACAGATACGTACATTGAAACATGATGTCACACAGACCCCGCCCATCAGTTTGGTTTCTGGAGGGCAAAATTACCAGCGCCGTGTATCGTTTTTAGTGAAGTTACCGAGCTAACGCACTAAATGTTAAATTTACACGTTATTTAAATGATCTCATCGATGCTTGTGCTGTAGGGTGCACAAGCAGACGAAGGAAGGATAGTGATGTCAAATTTCATAGGTTCAAAACTGGACATGAATCCAAAATATCTGCATCAATCTCACTGCAACACATTGTTGAAACCTGATTGTTTTACACTTTGAATTCCGTTAGCCTTTAGGATAAGAGCACCTCCCAGAGCCGAAGATTTAAACAAAAGCTTCTTTTTTTTTGTAATTTTTTGTACAAAATTCCATCAGATTTGGTTAAAACTTGGATTGGATTTTTATGCCAAATCGCTCAGCCCTTTTAGCATCCCGCTTAAGACTGAACTCAGTGATACGGAGGTCTGTAGATCTTACAAAACAACTTCTTTCTTTTATGAAGTTCGCACTGACTTCCACTCATTGTGTCTTAAATCTGACATGGAGGCGTGAAAGGTTCCAGAGTCCTGGTGGTGCCATTGTTAAGGACCGTGGTTTCCATTTCCTGAGCTGAAGGTGTCGAATCTTCATGGAGCCGATCACAAGCACCCGTATAAAGTTTCATTTCTGGGTGTAAAATAAGTGAGACTGCCGATAAAACCAAGAGAAGGGCTGAGGTTAATCCCCGTCTTCACACCTGGATAGTGTCCTTTTTAACTCTAATGTTGCATATACCTCTTTCATTTAGACTTTAAAATACATTCACTAGATTTTGACTATAATTATTAGCAGTCATTAGCTGAAAAAGTTCAACTTAGAGTCAGTTACTGTAATAAATCATGACATGTTTTTTTTTCTGCTTTAAAATTAGATTAATCTGTTTCTCCTTCGTTAATGTATTAAGACTGCTTTATCTTGTTTACACTGCAGCCATTTTACATTTAGTTCCTCTGGTGTGGATTTAAACCAATTTGTCCAGCAAAAGTAACCTCTGCATTGTTACCGGATTATCTTTAAAAGCATCGAAGATATGACGGCATAATGTATATAATGTCATTATTTGCTTGGGAAAAGATTTGTACAATTGTTTTAGATGCACTCTTATGCTGTTTTCTTTTTTGTTTGTTATTGAGCTAAATGCTTGAGCTCTAGAGAATAAACTGAAGGCTGTGCAGAAAAGTAAGACCCTCCTCCCTGGTAGGTTGATATAAACTGCTTCTATAGAGTGAGTTGGTGGGAAATCTGTTCAGAAGTAAATAAAAAAAAAACTGAACCCACTCAGGGAATTCGACCCAGTGACTGAGGGCAGCTGTCCTTTACAAAGACTCGGATAAATGATGACAGTATTAAAATAAGTCGCAGTTTCCTGATATATTTAGCCTTTTTTTTCTAAATCTGTCCCTCAGATCTGGAGCTGCTGTGGTACCATTTTCGAATTAAACATCCAGGACGGTTTTATAAACAAGTCGGCGAGTTTGGTGGGTTCTGATCGCCGGGGCTCCCGTCACGTTTCATAACTTTTATAGTTTGGGTGTCTTAAGACCTGAAGTCTTAGATGGGGTTCAGGTAGAGTCAGATGTTTTCTACCAGTCAGGTCTTTACATTTTCTGTGAGCTTCTCCTGGTCTAATGTAAGGAAATTTAAAGTCGTAGGGAAATCGTATTTAAATGTCAAATCATTCTGGCTTAAACATGTATAGAAATGCACTCTTTAACAGACAATATTGTCCCAAAATTTAGAAAATTTCTATTTTTGAAAAAAATCCTGTTTTAAAATCTGTTTTTTTTTTTCTTCGTCATCTTATTCAGGCCAGTTAGTTATACGTCAGTCTGAACACCTAAATTCGGCCAATCGTAGATCAACGGTCATCTGTCAATCACATTTTTTCGTTCATAGCATCTTGATTCATATGTCGCAGCTAATATACGCAACGGTAGAAATAAGAATCATTTACTTTCCCATTGAGTTCAGTCCCAGTGTTCACGGGGATGGACGTCTGTGTCTTCAGCAGGCGTAGAGCTAACAGAACTGGCAGCGTTGCGAGGCAAGGGCTCAAACATGTACGGCTGGAAGCCTTCTACACCAAACCAAGCTTCTGCCGCCCTGGCGTCCTCTTCCACAACATCTTCCTCCCCGCTTTCCTCCTCTAAATAAATAATGTATGACGGAGGAGACTCATCCACGACCTCCGACACTAAACTCTCCTCCTCTTGCATGTTTCCTCTGTCCATAGCGTTCCTTGACAGTGTCGTTTCTAAGTCACCAATTTAGTGCTACTTGGTCCCAATGGAATTTCCCATTGGGAACCTACTAGCACCAAGTTGCTAACTGGTTAGCAAGATACTTCAGAGACACCGGCCACAATCAAACATGCGAACCTTCCACCACAGCAACCTCGCCCTCTTGATAAACGACCAATCACATTCACTTTATTCACTCGTGGAAAGTCATGCACCACTCGGGAGAATTCGGAAATGCGACGGTTGGAACAGCTGTTTTCCTACGACATTAATTTTTACCCCGTTTACACTACCCTTAAAAAACTGAGCCGAGACCGGTCCGAGCTCAGTAACTGAGATAACTTGTCGTGTGTGAACGGAAACAACCTGAACTGAACCGAGATAGACATAACCGGACCGCGCTAACTGCAGACCAGTTTCCGAGGTGGGTTCGGCTCGGTTTTTTCCTGGCTCGGTTCTCTGATAACAAGAGCGCATGAGCAGAACGCGTCATCGCCGACTGGCTGAACATGCCGATTCTCAAAAGCCGACTTTCTCAAGTACATCCACGCAAGGTTGCCGTCTTCGCCTGACCCACCGCAAACACGGAAGTACAGCAATAATAATCAAGCATAACTTTCTGAATGTGACGG